ACCCTTTTGTTGTTGATGGGACAACCCGCTTGGCAAACCTAAGAAGCCTCAGCTGCAACGCGGGTGTCGCTTTGTTAAAATTGTAGTTATATTTCTTCCGAATTCCCTCATCTGTGTAAAATTCTTTGTAGAAGCGTTCCATCAACTGATAATCACTAAGAATCGTCGCATCTTTCTCTTTATTCTCTTCTTCTGTTTTCCTGAGCTGGCAAATCATGTCAGCGTAATTGATGTTCAATGAAAAGCATTGCAGGGTTACGGGGTATTCGAGTGTGGCGTTCTCTGAAGGGGGTTCTGCGGCTCGTTTGGTAAACGGTAGGCTCGATCGGTCGTTGGGATGTGGTTGGCTGATTTTTGAGCTATTGGTTGCTTTTGGTTCTTCCATAGGTGTCTCCCCGCTGTCGGCTATAATTGAGCTGGACGGTAGACTCAACAGATTTTCCCGTACCGCTCCGGGGCATGGTTTCAGTTTGAACTGGAACCGCTCACGTATTTCGGGCGATCTGTAGAACAGCCTGTAGTATTCCCTGGCACAGTTCTCTTTAGATAAAGTCTTAAACTCGTCTTCGTTCCTCATTTTTTCACTTATTTCCTCCAGATTCTTGATGTACTTTTTGAAGAACTGAAAGCTGACAGGTGCAACAACCGTTTCTTCGACCGATTCGGGTCTCTCCAGATCTGGCGACGGACTAATCAACTCTGGAAAATTTTGCGTTGGCTTTTCCACTGCCCTGAAAGTGAAAAAGAATGTATTGATCTGGACGAAAACAGCAGAAACTCAGAAAAAAATAAATGCTTACGGGTCTGCCTCATTCGGAGCGGCTCGTTCCACACTGTCGGCAATAAATGAGCTGGTCGGTAGACTCAGTAGTTTTTCGCGCACCGCTGCGGGACACGGCTTTAGATTGAACTGGAACCGTTCACGTATTTCGGGCGTGCTGTAGAACAGCCTGAAGTACTCCCTGGCACAGTTCTTGTTTGATAAATTCTTAAAACCGTCTTCGCTCCGCATTTGCTCGCTGATTTCCTCCAGATTCTTGATGTACTTTTTGAAGAACTGAAAGCTGACAGGTGCAACAACCGTTTCTTCGACCAATTCGGGGCTTTTGGGTCGCTCAAGATCTGGCGACGGTTTAATCAACTCTGGCAAATTTTGCCTCAGCTTGTCGGCTTGCTCGGGCGTCGGTATTGCAAGCAGGCGAGCGCTCATGGCCGACGTACACGGTTTCAGGGTGTACTTGCATCGCTCACGAATCTCCGGACTTAGATAAAACGCCAAGTAAAAGGCATGAGCGCATTCCTCAAAGCCCATGTACACATACTGGGGGTCGTTGAGCTTCAGTTTCCACACAATATCGTAGAGGTTCAATACATATTTCTGGAATTCTTCAAAGCTCACTATCGAAAAGTCGCTGTCAGGGGTACAACAAGTTGAAGCGTTCCTTGTTTCAGGATCCTGATGCATAGCGGGTTCTTCGACTGTGTTAGTCTCTTTGTTATGCTCTGCCAAACTCCTGGCTGCCGATTCAACAATTCGATGACCAGCTGCCAACAACTTCGGCATAAAAGTTGTAATTGACCCATGGAATATATTGGTGGTCTTTCGCTTTTCGGGAAACATGTAGAAGGATTTGTAGAATTCCATCAACTGATGTTGTTCTGTTGACGGGCTTGTTGACTCGTGTTCCATTAGCATTTTTATCTTCTCCATGTCCACGTACTTTTGAAAGGTGTGGAAGTGCACGGGAAAGACGAAGTCTCTGTCAATAGTCAAGATGGTTAGCAAATAATGTGGCATACATTGCAGTGGTACTCACTTCTCCACTTCGACACTTACACCATCAGCCGTTTCATGCTCAATCTCTCCCACTCTGTCAATAGTCAAGATGGTTAGCAAATAATGTGGCATACATTGGAGTGGTACTCACTTCTCCACTTCGACCATTACACCATCAGCCGTTTCATGCTCAAACTCTTGGGTCGATTCATCCGCCTCTGCTTCCGGCATAGAGAGCAATATATTCCTGATTTTCTGGGGACACGCGCGCAGCTTGAACTCATAGCGCTCGCGAACACTGGCGTCCTTGTAGAAGGCATGGTAATACCAGCTGGCACACTCGTCCAGCGTTTTTCTGGCTCCGTCTGCATCACCATTCGCAGCTCGGTCGCGCTGAACTTCGAATGCGATATCCGGCAAGTTCTCTATTAGCTGACTAAATTTCTGAAAGGTTACTGGCTGCTTTTCTACCCTGCAAGAACAAACATTTTTATAATATTACGAAAATTGGGAACGGGGACCTTCCGGAAGATGTTGATAGACTTACTGCTTGCATTTTGTCTTTGGCTTTTCCTTTGGACCCATTTGTTGGTTTTTTGTCGAAATATTTACATACGCAAAAGAAAATAAGTGCGACGCCGATACAAAAAAGAGCGGTTCCGTGTTAGGGATGAGCAGTTTGACGATATTTAACATACAACGTTGCCGAAGTGAAATTAGTTATAAGGTGTCGTATTCACTTTGAGATAAAAATATGTCTTCCAGCACAAGGTGCAGTTTACAGGACAACTATTTATTAATCAATTGTTATTGATATTTTTAATAAGTAACTTTACCTTGTTCCAGCACACCTTCGCTCATCCCATAAAAAACTTCAAAAAGAGATGGGAGTCAGCACTGCTGTTAAAATGGAGTATTACATATATTACCAATTTTAAATGTGTTAAAACACACAAATCAGAGATAAAATATTTTATTAGAAGCTACTTACATCCTATATAATCAGGATATTCTTATATATATTCTAGTCGGGCATACTAAAGGTAATCGGGTATTTTGTATGAAATAATATAAGTGTGTAAACCAAAATGCACTATAACTATCAATCGGCCTGTGATATGTTTTGCGCTGCACTTATCAAGGTGTCGTGAATGTCCTTCGCCGACTGAACGTGCACTCGCACTGTATTCAAATACGTGGGGTACGGAATGGGTCCAGCGTTTTCGGGCATAAAGTTTTCCATTCGCATTGGCGTAACCATGCCAGGCAGATAATGGTTGGAGGAGTTCTGCTGCTGCAGGCACTGCATCGCCGTCTTCAGATGTAGCTCGATTTGGTCACAGAAGGCATAGAAGTCTTCGAGATGCTTATCAAATCGTGGCACATGATGCCCATGGACTCCGGTGTCACGCTTCAGATTGTCCGCCAGGTTGTTTTGCTGCAGCGTGAATGCACTAGATCTGATTGTCAGGAACATCGACTCCCGCAGCGGTGCCAGGAGACTCTTGGCCCTCGATATGTTGTCCAGCTTCTCGGCCTGTTGTTGCTGCTGCAAGGGCTGTTGGGGCACTGGACCAGGTGGGACTGCCGGCATCATTGGCTGAGGCGACGACTGCATCACTTGCATCATCTGCGGTCCTGACATCGGCATCATGTTCATATTGGGGTTCATGTTTTGATTTTTTTTTTTGTGTGAATTCAAAGTGAAAGGTTTTAATTGTCTGCGAATTTTTCTAGTCAGAAACGATACATTTATTCGCTCACAAATGCGCTCCAGCTATCGATACCACATCCGATAGCTTTGCCAGCAACCGGGACTTCCGAACAGCTGTCCGGCTAAAACACATTTTTCTATAATAATTAGTTGGCGCTAGGCGCATTATTAAATCGTAAGGAGCTACTAAATAACTATGACTCGGTGAGTAAAGTGTCCTCTGCGTAAATAGCGCATGCCAGAAGTCCCTACAAAATTCTAACCTAAAAGTTTGCGCCGAATCGAGTCTGATTTTCTTGGGTTTTTTTAATTTTGTAGAAATAGCATCGACTTGGGCGACGTTACGCCGCACAACATAAAACAACTGAAGAAGCTCAACACAGTGGTGTTCCCGGTCTCCTACAATGACAAGTTCTATGTGGATGTTCTGGAGGCTGGCGAATTGGCAAAATTGGCCTACTACAACGACATTGTGGTCGGGGCCGTTTGCTGCCGCATCGATACAACCGAGAACCAGCGACGCCTTTATATCATGACACTTGGCTGCCTGTCGCCCTACCGCCGCCTGGGCATCGGCACCGTCATGTTCGAGCACATACTGAACTACGCGGAGAAGGACGGCAACTTTGACAGCATTTTTCTGTAAGGCAACCGGCCACACGAATCTTGCAGGAATATTGTATGGAATAACTTTTGAACGCATTTGCAGGCATGTGCAGGTCAACAATGATGGAGCCATTGAGTTCTACAAGAAATTTGGCTTCGAAATCGTCGACACCAAGGAGCAGTACTACAAACGAATCGAGCCCGCGGATGCCCATGTCCTGCAGAAGGCACTTCGCCGCAACCCTCCGAATGCCAACAGCATCAGCACCAGCACCAACAACGCCAGCAACCCAAATCCAAAAAGTAAAGTTCGCCAGTACACTTTTGTATGAATTTCAAGTAAATAAAAACCGCTCTGGCAATGGCAAATGGCTGTTGAATTGTGCTGTCATTTCTACATAAGAATGTCTATTAAATGGTTAATCAATCGTAATTAACACACGTGACAAACGATGCATTCAATTTGTCCGATCCTATCTCTGTGCTCTTAATTACCACTGTGCGCGAGGATAAGAAGCCCTGCGCGCCAACGGCCAGGCTCAGTCATTGGCGGCCAAATGAAGAACCGCAAAACGTCGAGCGATGGATTCATCTACTGCTACGGCAACCTATACAGCCTTCTCTTCTACTGGGGACTGGTGACCTTCCGGGTGCACACCCAGAGTGACGGCGGAGCAGCTTCCTCGCCCATGAGCGTGTTATATGCGGTCTGCGTCCGAGTATTCGCAGTCTTCGGCTACCTGGGCAGCGTGCTCTTTAAGCTGAAGGATGAGCAAATGGCCACCGCCATGCTGGGCCATCTCACACCCGTGGTCAAGATGATCATCATGTGGGAGTGCCTTAGCTGCACGATTACCTATGTGGAATACTGCATCTCGCTGGATGCCAAGCGGCGCCGCCACGTCAAGCTGCTGACCAACATGCAGGGCTTCGACCTGGACATTTCCGTGGAGTTTCCCTCGGTGCGCTGGCACTACCAGCGACAACGCTTTAAGTACTGGTACGGGACTGTGATTGTGACCATCTGCTTCTTCTCCTTCTCACTCTCGCTGATCTTCGACATCGCTCGTTGCACCTGCGGCATAGCGTCCACCCTGCTAATGGCCGGCAGCTACACCCTGCTGACTAGCTCCCTTGGCCTGGTGGGATTTGTTCACATTGGCATTATGGATTTCGTGCGGCTGCGCCTGCGCCTCATCCAGAAGTTGCTCCAACACGAGTACGCGGATAGCAATCCTCTTGGTCCACAAGAGACTGTGCATCGTAAGATTGCCAAGCTGTTTGAGTTCTCCAAGCGCTGCTCCCACTTGCTGTCCGAGTTGAATGGCGTGTTTGGGTTCGCGGCCGCCGCCGGGTTCTTCTACGAGTTTACTCTGATGACCTGCTTCGTGTACGTGGTCTGCCAGAAGGTTCTGGCATCCGAGGCCTGGGACATGGAGTACACATTCATGCTGCTCCACGTCACGCTGCACACCTACAAGCTAGTCATCACCAGCACGTATGGCTACCTGTTGCAACGGGAGGTGAGTGTTGCTTAGCTGAGATTAACCGAGACTAGATCATCCTTGCTCCTTCTCCTCAGAAGCGCAACTGCCTCCACCTGCTCGGCCTCTACGCACAGTACTTCCCGCAACAGCTTTTGGTACGCAGGCAGGTGGAAGACTTCCAGCATTGGCGCATGCACAACAGGCAGGCGGCCCTCATCGGGAGAAGCATGCCGCTCAATGTGTCCACCATTTTCATGGTGTACAACGGCATGGCCAACTATGTAATTATCCTGGTCCAACTGCTCTTCCAGCAGCAGCAGATCAAGGAACGGCAGAGGGCCATGGGAAGCGATGTAGAAATTGTGGGGCCAATGGGTCCCACTACTCATATGGATTAGCTCATCCCGTATACCTGTAATATTTAATCACGCATACAAGTAAACAAGTAAAGAAAGAACTCACTTTTGTGCTTGGCTGCTGGGCAAGGCATCAAAGATAGGGATAATCATGCATTAAAATAACCATCTTCAACATTCTGGTATTTCTTAATTATATTTTAAGGCTCTGGAATTATTATTACCATAAAATGTCTCAAAAGAAGATAGCGAGAGCTCATGGGTGCACTTCTCAAAACCTGTGGCACAGTGGGGCGACACACCGTGAATTGATGAGAGTGTAAGTTGGTGTATTTTTGTTTGTGTATTTGCGACCCGACTATCGAAGAGCCTTAGATCTTATTGGGCTAGTACCTTCTACTCTGAAGAGGATCTGCTTTTGAGATGAAAATGGATGCTTACTTTGGGCTGAAGATACCTTTCGGCATGCAAATACACAGATAGAAATGAAGATATGTTAAGCACAAAATGTAGTTAGATGGTACTTTGAATGGAAGAGGGGTCTGGAGGCAGGTGGTATGGTCAGGTCAGGTGCATACAAGTAAGGGCTTGCGGACATGCATGTGGTATGTATGTAGAGATGATTGCATCAAACTCCAGAGTGCCGCTGACCAGCCGTGGGATACATGCTTTGGGCCGCTGTGCACCGACCAACACTCACACTACTGCAAGCTGTACATATATGTTATGTACTTTAACCAGATTATATACAAAAGCACAAATACATATGCACAGAACATATGTACATGCATACATGTGTATAGGTAGGGACACACGCAAAGCGCTCGACTGTGCCGCACTCCGGACATCGTTTATCGATTGACAAAAGGCAACAACAACAACAAAAGCTCTTCCAGCGGCGGTAGGTAGGCCGCTCTCTGCACCGTCCACCCCCTCATCCACTTCCACCCACGCTCCATAAACACAAGCAAAACAGCAGCGGAGAGCCAGAAGTACATACACACACACAACTAATACATAAGCACATAACTACATAGGTATGTGTGTACGCCCATGCATAGCCATGCCTTCACCGCCGCCGAACGGGCAAAACGCCCAACATCCCACCTTCCCCCTCCCTGCGACACATCTTTCCACAAAATGTTGCTGCTGTTGCTGCTGCTACTTGTGGAATAGAGGGGGAGCTGGAAGAAGGCAATAATGATGATGATGGCGATGATGATGATGACTATGGAAGAGGCATGCCGGGAGCTGGCCCATAGGTGGGAGGGGGGCCGGCAGCCAGGACGAGGGAGGCGGCTGCCACTGACTGACTGTGTGAGTGTGTGTACAGTGAGAGAGAGAAACAGTGGGACAGGGGAGCTAGGTGGAGCGGACGTCGCAGTAGGAGCTGTCGCTGGCTGAAGGCAGGCACGGGCATAGAGAGAGAAAAGCGAAAAAATATAATAAAAGCAACAAAAACCCGCACAAGCGAAAGAGATACAAACAGACACACATACACACGGACAGAGAAACACACGCAGCTGGCACATACACACACACACACACACACTCTTACAGGCGCCATCTACGTGTTAGTTTGGGGCTCAGCTCAGTCCGCCTCGCACAAGAAGGCAAGAGGGCGCGGACGAGAAGGCGTGCAGTGGCTGGCTGTCGAGAGGGGGGTGAACTGGTCGTAGGTTCGGTCGCCAGCAGTCAGCACTGGGGCTG